ACATGATTTTGCAGGGGAAATTGTGGTATATATGTCATAAATTTCGCTGAGTGTCTAATGTTGGATAAAGAAGTAAATGAAGTTTCGAAGGAAGACATGGAAAAGTATGGGAAGAAATGACAAGAAAGCTACTGATGAATGCAAAACGAAGAAAGCGGTGGATTAAAATAGTCTGTAATACAAAAGTAATATGTGGTCTAAGATGCAATGTAATAGTTATATTGTTGGAAAGAAAAATGCATGTAAAATTTTCTTCTTTTTGTCATTAAGTATTGTGATTACATATTAGTTACATTTGGTTTTGAAATATGACAATATACTACATCCTCTTTTTTGTTTCAAAAAAAATGAGTGCTCATTTTTACTTTTTATTTCATGATGAGATCACTGTAAACTCTGATATAAATATGGAATGAAGTCCATAAGTAGTCAATAGTAGGTCATTAATAACACAAGTGTAGACATTAAATAACTACAGCTAAAGTAAGTACACAAGTCAGTTACAACTATATGTAAAAGCTTATAAAGTAACAATGGAGTTTGATAAGCTGGTCAAATAAATTTTAGATACAAAACTCATGAAATATGTAAATATGAACATATTGTTGTTAAATGCGGACACCAAAACTCAAAACATTTCTCGTAAATAACTATTACACATTTCGTGCATTAAATATGAGCATATTAATTGGAAAAATTTAGTTGCATTCTTGCATATAAGGGAAGAAACGGGAAGCGTACTGAGTAGACAAAGCTGGTATGTTAAGTGCATTTTGGAGTAGGCACTAAATACGTAGAACACATGAGGTCAGTAATTAGACAGTAAAAAGACATTAATTTCAAAGATAATGTGTGCTGGTTCTGAAACATATATTATTCAATAAACTTGAGTTTGAATGACAAAATAACATAAATGATCTCCAATGCCAAAAACCATGGAAACTAACATAAAACATCATTGCCAATAAACCATGGCAATTTAAAAGTGCGGGGAAAAAACTAAAATTCTCACAACTCTCATTGGATGAAACGGGAATAAAATGTTTCCGACCTTGAATTCATGCATTCAATGACATGAAAAAGTACCGGTATGCCCCCAGCGGGAGAAATCTCTAGGATTTTATTCAATCTAGTCAAGTCGCATCCATGCCATCGCAAGCAGCTACAATATCATGATCACATGGCAATTAGGATCTCAAGACGCAGCAATTGGGAATCTGTTTCGAGACTTCGTCATTGAGAGCAACTCACTGATCAATGGAGATGCCTTTCACTTCAATTGCATACTAGGATTCGAAAGATTCATTCTGTCCTTTTCCAACCTGTATGATATCCAGACCGACTACTCCAGAGGCACTCATCCATAAACCGGTTACGGGTACAAATAAAGGAGATCATGGAACCATGATGTTTGCTTTTAAGAACATAAGCAATGGAGGGCGTATAGTAACAACTGATATCTCTGCTCATATGAACCCGTCAATTTTTCTTAGGCTTTCTTATTTACAATCCAAGCATACTTGAATAACAAAGTAGCTCATAAGGTTTCTGGTTCAGGATTTTTGTCGAGCATTTTATCTGCATCACTTGAACCCTACATTTGAGCAAACTCTTGGACTACAAACAATTGTATCCGGTTCACCATAAGAAGACAAAAGAATAATTTGAAGTATAAAAAAGAGAACAGATGTTGGAAGCTAAAAACAGGGAAGACAAAAGCTTTGTATTGCAATTTCAAGGTCACAATGAAAATTCAAACTTGAAGATTACAAAACTGATACAGGATATATAAACACAATTCGTTTATAAATTAAAACATCAAACAGTAACAAATTTGTAGAAACAATGAGTAATAAAACTTACCAAAATGGGCAGAAAAATTTTCACAACATATGAAGCTCGATGAATGACTAAATGATGCTTCAGGAACCATACGAGCACGATCAAAATTGGAGAAGTGAGAAGTGATGATTAAAAAGATAGAACTTGAGCTCGGATGATTACAAAGAACAAAAGAAGAAGAATAGGTCGATCGTTGCGGAAGAGATCGGCCATTGCCCAAGTTACTCGTCTTTAAAACACAGCCTAAAGTGGAGGGTAAAAACGGAAACTAAAAATTAAGTATCCTAAAATAGGAGTAAGTAAAGCTTACGGATGGAAAGAATCTAACTAGGTCCTAATCCTGTAAAGTTTGTATGATTTAGTCTCACCAACAAAATTTTTCTCGTGGTTAATCATCTTTTAATCATTCTGATTAAATGATCCTGTAAAGTTACTGTTCTGCTTTTGGTTTATGTTTGATTTTCATCTTTCTTAAATCAAAAGTTAGTGTTGTAAACATTTTAAATCCTGAACAATTTACATTTTAATATGCCTGGTCTTTTTGTTGATTTAAATATATATATATATATATATATATATATATATATATATAGGGTGCGATTCCGATAAAAACCATCTTTATCGTGCAAACTGCAAACCGTCACTTTTGACTCAATTTGATTCACTTTGAAGCTCGTATCTTGCACTTTTTGAACTTTGGTGGAATCATGTCAAATAGAAAAAAATGGTGGCATTTTTGTAAATAAGTTAAAGTTGTATGCCATTGTGAAAAAGTGCAACATTGAAACCTAATAGTGCATCATAATGGAGGGAAAGTGATCGATTTGTAGTTTTCATGGGAAAGAAAGGTTTATATATATATATATATATATATATATATATATATATATATATATATATATATATATATATATATATATATATATATATATATATATATATATATATATATATATATATATATATATATATGTAGCGGATCAGGTGAGAAGTGTCCTTAGGCTGAGAAGCTGCGAAGTCTAACTTATAAGCAAAAAACACGAACTTTTAACCAATAAATCATAACTTATAGACCCCCTCAAAAACACGAACTTTCTGCAAAAAAAAAATCCAGGTTTCTGGAGTTATTTTGACACGGTGGCATTTTCGTAATTTTTTTGAAGGGGGTCTATAAGTTATGATTTATTGGTTAAAAGTTCGTGTTTTTAGCTTATAAGTTAGATTTTGCAGCTTCTCAGCCTAAGGGGAACTTCTCACATGATCTTCTCTCTCTCTCTCTCTCTCTCTCTCTCTCTCTCTCTCTCTCTCTCTCTCTATATATATATATATATATATATATATATATATATATATATATATATATATATATATATATATTGGATGGTATAGATCAAAACTCACGATTAACAAAAATGTGTAATACATAATAGCAAAACTACATATGCAATATCAATATGTAATGGAGCACATTCACCTTCTAAAAAAACATTAAGAACGATCTTTATACTTGTTATGTTTTTCCCGAAAAGTAATGCACTTTATTGTTAGGAGCGGAACCGCGACCGCCCGGTCCGGTCCCCAAAACCCTTACCCGGGAATGAACCCGCGTCTCCTACCCGGAAAACCGGACCTGGTCCAATCCCGCACAATGGTGCGTCCGGTTCTGGTTTGTTCTGGGACCGCCGACCGGGTCCACCCCTAGTCTCATCTGGTCTGTTTGAATCTGGTTTTGTGTGATTTGAACTAGTCTTGCCTGGTCTGGTAAATGTCTGGTCTCTATGTATTTTATGACTATGGAAGTTTGGTCTGCTCTGTTAATATTTGGTCTGGGACTAAAAACAATCCAAGTAAAAGCATCCTTATGTATATAGAGAAATGATTCCATGACACCGGCTGACAGAAACCGCCATCAGTCTGCCTCTATTTGAGGGATTCTAACTTTCTAAGCTGCTTCCTACGGATGGATTCGGGTCGAGTCGGGCCCGGTCGGGCCGCCGGTTCAAGAATAGTGGGCCCGGGACCGGCCCGAGGGTTGGACGGGTCCGGTTCGGGCCGGGCCACCCGCCCGGGTCACGGGTCGGGTCCGGTTCGGGCCTAGGCCCGTTTTTTTTTAAACAAAAAAAAGTTTTTTTAAAAAAAAATAGACCCGGACCCAGGCTCGGGCCCGACCCGGCCGGGTCACAAAAATCCAAAACCGAGCCCGCCCCCGCCCCTTCCCATCGGTTCGGGTCCATACCCGGTCCCGGACCGCCCGACCGGGCCGGTCCCGGGCCCGCACAGTACCGGGCCGGGTCACGGGCCGGGTGGCCCGAACCGAATCCATCCCTACTGCTTCCCGGTGGAGTTTTTATCAAATTTTATTAGCATGTTTTTCATGAAGTGTAAATTATGTCCACCAAATTTCACTTTAAAAAATTTAGTTAAATAAATTATTGAAAACACTGTATTATAAACATATTGTTGGAGTATTTTCAATAGTTTATTTAATTGACTTCACTTTTAAATTGTAAGGTGAAATTTTGTGGATATAAGTTACACTTAATGAAAAACATACTCATACAATTTCATAAAACAATTCACTCAAAAACACCTCAAATGAAGGCGGTCGAACAGCAATTCCTGTCAAGCCGGCCTAGGCTTGGACTCGGGCCGGGTCAAGTCCGGGCCTAAGCCCAACCGAGCCGCCGGTTCCGTATCCATAGGCTCGAGACCGGCCCGGGTCTTGACCGGTTCCGGGCCAGGCCAGTTCCGGTTCATTTTTTTTTATTATTCTTATTTATTTCACCCCCCACCCCCCATCCCCCCCAACCCCCCAAACCCCTCGGAAATACCCAACCCAGCCCAACTAACCCCAGCCCAAATCAAAAAAAAAACAAAAAATAAAAATAAAAAAAGGCACGAACCGGGCCCGGCCCGGTCGGGCCGGTTCCCCTTTTCCCTTACCTGTGCCCGGAACCGGTAGACCCCCCGGGCCTAGGCCCGAACCGGAACCAGACCCGGTTTCCCGGTCCGGGCCGGGCCCACACAGTAGCGAGCCGGGCCGGGCCTGCACAGTAGCGGACCGGGACGGGCCCGCACAGTAGCGGGCCGGGCCGGTTCCCGGGCCGGGTGGCCCGCACCGAGTCCAAGCCTAAGCCGGCCTGATAGGATCATTGTTGTGTGTGTATAGATAATGATGAATATTATAAATTGACATGAAATTAATACGGAGTAATGATCCATATAAAGAATGACAGATGAAAACAAAACGAGGCTTTATTTTCGGCTTTATAAGCTTTAAAACTTTCTTTGAAAGAGAACTATCTGCTGGGGAATGCTTATGTAAAAGGTCCTTGTTAAAAGACCCCCACGGCTCCAACGGTTTAGCTTTTACAAATTACAAGGACAAGATACTTTACAGAATGCAATTAAGTTGGAACGATGACATTCATACATCAACAACCCCTTTCGCTTTATCCTCAGCTGGGCCATATACCACTGCTGTTCTGCTTGGTGCATACACCATAAAAGAGCGCGGACGCTCATCATAATACCCTTCCTGTATCACCAACCAGTTTCATTTTAGCATTCAAAACCAATTCAAGAACCAAGAATATGCAACAAGCAAGTATGAAATGAGATATTAGGCGGGAAAATCTTACGTGTGTGAAAAACTCTGCACTGTGATTAACTCTGCCAAAGCCTCCAAACAACCGACTGTCGGAATCTAACACTACCTGGAAGGCAATGACGAGGAGTTAGTAGAACCAATATGAAGCGTCTTGGTTTTCCATATTGGAGGACTTGAGTTGATGTATAGGAGTGACTACTTCATTTGGTAATGTTTCCTTTCTTTTATGATTTTATCAAAACATTTGTTTTGTTTTGAATATATCACTTGTACTCCAGAGTACTAATTACTGTGAAGATAAACCCTATACCATTTAAATTAAATGCCACTCCTGAATACACAAGTGTTAACTTAAAAAAGGGAATTGCATATAGAAATAGTTGTTCCAACTAACTAAACCATCACTTCCTAATTCATGTGCAAAAAAATGTGGATTGCTTTGTGGAACAAAAAAAATAACTTTTATAGAAATTCTAATGTTTGTGAAAGTGTTGAAGATAAAAATATATGCAAAAAATACGTTTTTATTTTCTGAAGCTGTAAAAAAAACATGGTTGTCGGATGTATTTTTGTGTTTCTGTTTTCATTTAAGCTGAAATAAAAAACCGAAAGAAGAAAAATATTGCCAAACAACACCCCTTGCCAAGGGAAAAACAACACTTCTGACTCAGACTACAATGAAAAGATATAGCATACCTACTCTTATATCACAGAAATAAATTTTGATGGATAATACCTTATACTTTCCAGGCTTCGAGCAACCTATGCGGTAATCTGAATAACTATTAGTCCAGTGGAAATTGAAGACAAAAACCAGGTCCCCCCTTTCAAAGACAATAACCCTATCCCCTTCATCTTTGCGGGATATATACTGGTGCTCTGATGTCATGAACTGCAAGAATTATATTTATCACTCCATCTGTACTCCAAAAAGGGTCAAAGTTCCAAAGGTTTTTTGTCCCTAATTAGTGTCCGATATCATAAAATGGAGCATTTTACATCATTTGCAATGGAGCCAAAGATTCATTATTTTTTGGCTTGAGATTATGGTGGAATAAAGCAAAATGGCTCACTAAACTGTCTGCGCTTCTTTGTTATGAAGCAACGGTCAGTCCATGCAATTTTGGACGCGATTTTCACTATGGGTCATCCGGAAACAGTCTCTCTGTGCTTTAGTACAAGGGTAAGACTACGTACATCCGACCTCTCCTTACCCCACCGTAGGTGGGAGCCTTTGCGGCATTGGGGTAAATGAAAATGATCATAAAATGGAGCAATTTTTTATGTATTTTTATGTTTCAAAAGAAGGGGAGCCTTGGCGCACTAGTTCAAGTCTTGGGAGCGGCCTCTTGTCAAAATGACAAAGAAAAGTTTGCCCCTTATAAACCTTGGTGGTAGGACCTTCCTCGGACCCTCGCCTTGCGGGGATGCCAATGTGCACCAGGATGCCCCATTTTTAAAAAGGAATGTTTCAAAACATTATATTAACTTTGGTTAGACCATACATGGAGTTAAATGTGTGTGTGTGTGAGTGTGAGATGAATGTCGACAAAATTTAGAAGTTGTATCTTGAATAAAAAGGACTTTTTTGTCTGGAGGGAGTAGTTTTTGGGCGGGACCAAAAGTATAATTAAGCCGATGGGATATGCTAATCAAAGGTTGATACACAAGTCATGTAGACAATATACTTCAAGAATCTTAGGATATGCTAATCAAAGGTTGATACACAAGTCATGTAGACAATATACTTCAAGAAGATTCTCACAAAAAGAAATCATGTAGCATAAGAATATCCAAATAAAAGTAATTCGGTTCAGTTATAAAAAACAAGGGAAAGGACCGAAAGGTTAAGAAAGTACACATACACCATATTTTTCTTCAAGATGCTGCATAGCTTGGTCAAATTCTTGCATTCCCCGATACCTCAGAAATTCTGCATCACCCTAAATACCCAGTAAATTCAGATTATCAGAAACAACACTTATTCTCGAACCAGACACTTTTACAGTGTGAAATCATATGAAGAACACCCATCCCGACAGCAGTGAATGAAAAGATTTCTCTCTATATCAAATTGCAACCTACACTATACTCCTATATACACTTGTGTATTTTTTAAGTGTCCATATCTGGTGTTTTAACAGGTATGAATTAATATAAGTGTGGGGTAACGGAAGATCTTTTGGGGTGACTTAGACCCAAATAAATATAGTACCAGAGGCTAGTCAAATTATGGTTCAGGTGGTCCATTTCACATCAGTTTGTCCCATCTGTTTGTCTCATTAGCCATCTGTTTTTAAATTTAGATTGCGACAAATGTCCGAGACCAAAGGTTTACAGGAACTAAGTCCGATATATAAATTAAGGTTAAAGATCATCAGGATCATTTTAAGATAGGCTAGGCCCAATTAAAAAGTAATTATGCCAAATGATTTTACACTTGGGAGAGTGCTCACCAGATCAAATCTACGTCGACATTTATCATAACTGTTCCCATTTCCGGGGACAAATTTACCATCCGGAAGGTGTTGATCATCTCTAGGGAAATCAATCCACTCTGAAAAAAAAAAATCACAAGTTTCAACATAAATAAGAAACAACAAAAAACTAATAGTTAAAATGATCAGATGAAAGGGACTCAAATCTGAGGGACTCGACCAGTCTTTCTCCCTAGAGCCTTAGAAGATGAATTAAATCAGGAGACATAACTCACTATGTCCCTCATGTTCATTTAAATATACACTTCTACTTATAAAAGGTTCAGAACTTCAGATAGATTTATTAAGACTAGAGTTCCATTCTAAAAGGTCAATCTGATATGAGGAGTAGTCCAGTAACTTGTATGTTAATTTGTGTTTTTATACGCGGTCGTGTGAGATAACTTAATACATCCCCACAAAATGATAACTCGTTGGAGCAGTATTGTAAAGCTTAATAAGGGTTCCACCCTAAAAGGTAACCTGATAGGAGGAGAATCTCAATGTTTTATATGCTAATTTCCATCATTTGCAATGGAGCCAAAGACTCACTATTTTTCGGCTTGGTAATATGATGGAATAAAGCAAAATGGCTCACTAAACTGTCTGCACTTCTTTGTTATGAAGCAACGGTCAGTCCATGTAATTTTCAACACGATTTTCACTATGGGTCATCCGGAAACAATCTCTTTGTGTTTGGTACAGGGGTAAGGTTGCATACATCCGAACCCCTTACCCCATCGTATAGGTGTGAGCCTTTGTGGCACTGAGGTAATGATGATGATGATGATCATGACGACAACAACGTGGCTGGTATGTGATAACTTAATAAGATTGGCGTTCCTTCGCCGCGGCGGGCAACATTGCACCAAAGGACATCACGTTACGGAGGCCCTAGCTAGAGGCCCTAAGGACTTGGTGTCATTTGCATGGTTTGATCTAGGGTGGTCCTTTGAATAGGGGAGTGCAGACCACCAGGCTATCAGACATTGACTGTTACATAGAATTAAGTATGCATAAGAAAAATCAAATCCATACCAGGATGACCGAATTCATTCCCCATGAAATTTAGATATCCTTCTCCTCCTAACCCCATAGTTATTAGTCGGATCATTTTGTGCAATGCTATTCCACGATCTATTGCTGGAGTTGATGGTCTATCCAAAGACATAAAGTCATACATGTCCTACAAAAGAAAAGAGAAAAGAAAAACCATTGCATAAAATAGTGCGAGTACGCATCTCGACCATTCTTTCCCCAAAAACATAGCAATAGAAGGAAAAGATTAGAAAATGAAGAGGATTTGGAGTCAAACCCTTACTAAAGCTACAAGTTACAACCTCAATTTGTCTTCAGAAGAAGTTTACCTTTGCACACTAACCTTTCAAGATCATCAAGTAAAATAACATAGAGCTCTAAGCATATCAGCTAATAACGCACATTGGATCTATTGAAGAGTCAATAGAGCATGCAAATGACATATCCAAAAATTCGTATCCTTGATGTCCAAAGAAGCACAATGATGCGGAATAAAATTAAAAAACTTCCTTCAAATATCATGTCCAAGCGAGGCCTATTTTACTCATATTTAATATTTATAATTAGAACTTAGGAAGTTTATGGATTTCATCCATTTATTTTTTCATTCATTAAATTCAAAATCACAAGACATGAAGGCCTCTATTTCAAATGCAACTTTATTTTCAAGTAAAAGACTATATTACCTTGTCCATCAACCAGAAAGCTATAGTTTTATCACCAACAAGAGCTTGGTCATGACTTTCAGCGTAAGCAACACACTTCTCCATCCATCTTCTATTAGTAAGTGTGTGAACAATGTCACCCATTTTCCAATCCTCATCTCTTTTCCTGTACCGAACATTTCAAGGTTTTGTCAATTACAGAGACATGCATAGTTATATTGTTAGCTAGACTAGATGCACGCATTCACATCTAAACTAGAGGTACACGCAGAGAAAATTTGCATGCATATGAAGCAGATCAGATGCCAACTTACTTGAGAATCTCGATCCATTTATCAGCAATTGCCATATGAAGCCGATAGTCAAAACCTACACCTCCATCTTGAACAGGAATACAAAATGCTGGCATCCCACTAACCTGAATAAGTAAAAGATTTCTAAAGAACAATCTTAAAAAAAACATTTTTCTATAGAGACATCGGTATTCCTATTACATGGATCAACTGCAATTTCGAAACACAAAATGACATGTAAAAATTCCTGACTAATGTAGGTCAGCGATCCTCATAATTGAGTGGTGTAACTTTGCATTTGCCAATAACCACACAAAAAAATTAACCTTTCAGAATTAACGCGCTAACGACTTGCTTTGATGTCTATGTTCAAGAGAATGTCTAGTGTGTAACAAAAATGTTCATAATTTCTGCAATTCAAGAAAAATAAAGCTCTTTGTCATAAATTAGACCGTTGAAAAAAGAAGACATGGGTATGCACAATATAAACCATAAGTTTGACGGATTACTCTCAACTCATCAAAGTATCAGGTCATATTTCTGCACTTAAACTGGCAAGGCAACATCATTGCACCCGAGGGGTGATACCTTGATAAAGCATGCATAAAAAAATCAACATAACAATCGTCTTCCAAGCAGCACATAATGGCCATTTCCACTAAACATCCTGTAGCCGCACATATTGGTCATTTCCACTAGACATCCAGTCATACTATAGTCTTAATTTTTTAAAGTTCTTTTAGGACCATTTTATAGGACATCTAATCTCAGTACCCAAAAGAACTCTTTAGATATACTAGCAACTCAAATTTTGCATGTCAAAGTGGAAACAAAATCTAGAAACATCTAGCTCAATTAATAATGACACTGAATTAGAAATAATACATCTTCACCAACGGTTATGGCATCTGGGAAGAGACCATGAATGAGATCATTGACAAGCATCAAATACACGACAGCATCAACATCAGTAGCATATCCGAAGTATTCATTATAATTCCCAGTAAATCCTACCTAAGAAAAGAAAAAAATCAGTCAGCCAAGTGGATAGTGTAATGCTATTAAACAACCAAAGAAAATTACGGTGATGGGGTTTCAGATCATACCCCCAACCCATGGTGAGTATACATCATAGAAGTAACACCATCAAATCTGAAGCCATCAAACTTGTACTCATCCAACCACCATCTTGCATTTGAGAGCAGAAATCTCAGTACCTATCACAAGCAGCGAACTCGTTATGGTTGGAAAAATACAATGACATTGTGTTTCAAAACTATTTCACATCACAAGAAATATACTTACTTCCCAATGTCCATAGTTAAAGAGACGAGAATCCCACATCCAATGATAACCTCGGGATCCAGAGTGGAAATAGCAACTATCTGTACCATCAAACATGTTCAGCCCATCCAAAGTATTGTTTGATGAATGACTGAGAAATAAATACCACCAGTTAGATACAAGACATAGAAGGGTATGCTAGAAATAAATTACAGAAAAGTACTTCCTTTTGCTCAAACTGAAATCAAGAGATTACTTGATAATAGTTGTGCAATTGCACCCAAAGAAAAATATCCCATGCGATGGCATTTAATTATATTGATATATTATTTGACGGAGTACGTTGCGTTGGATGTGTGGACATACCAGAAAAGACCGCTTGAGGAATGAGATACAACAACAACAACATCCAAGCCTTAGTCCCAAAAGATATTGGGGTCGACTAACATGAATCGATACATGATATCACCACCAAAAGGAAAAGAAAGGAAATAAAGATAAAAAAGATAAGCTATTATAAAAAGATAATATAAAAAGAGATGAATATACATAAGATGGGAGTAGCACCTATAGAAGATAAGATGTAGGAGTCTCGTTTACGGTGGTTTGGGCATGTGCGTAGAAGACCGAGTGATGCACCTGTTAGACGACTTGAGGGGTGCGGAGAAGAGGCAGAGAAGAGAGGGAAGGGAAGACTCAAACAGACTTGAATTAGAGGAATCAGAACTAATATGCGTCTTCTTGGGTTGGATGAGTATGGCTTTGGAGAGAGCAAAGTGGAGGGCGCACATCCGCGTGGACAATTGATGTCTTTTCTACCTTTCCTCTCTTTTCTTTTATCGTTTATCTTCTTTATCTTTTTATATTTTTATGTTATTTTTATCTTCTAGCTTTTTATGCTCTTTTATCTTTTTCTTTTATCTTTCTTCTTTTCTTATGTTATTGTTATCTTTTATTTATTTATCTTTATTTTATCCATTTTATCTTACTTTTTTCCTTCTTGTCTGTCTTCTATGTTTGGCAATGATATAATAGATCGATTCATGTTAGCCGACCCCAAATTCTTTTGGGATTAAGGCTGGGATGTTGTTGTTGTATGTAATTTGACGGAGATCATAATAAGACCTTAAATAGAACAGTTCTTTTACTAGTTGCGGTGAATAAATTTTCTGTTTCGGACTACCAATTTCAGCAACCTTAGTTGCTCAACCCCTTTCCCTATTCCGCCAACTATATTCTAGCTTCTCATCAAGAGAACTCTATACTCCATCAAATTACACTCCATAAAAGTAAAAGACGAAAAATAATAAATAATAGTACTTCATCTTCATTCCACATTTTCATCGATGACGAGTCTATCATTTATAAGATTGACATCAATGTGGAAAGATTTGCTAGAATGATAGAAACATTCAATTCATTCATGAAATGAACTATAGATCCCAAAAACACATGAAGAGAAAATACATATATTACCTGTGCACAATATCCATTAGAACAACCAATCCAAGTTCATGAGCTCTATCAATCAAAGATTTAAGATCTTCCGGGGTCCCACAACGACTGCTTGGTGCAAAGAAATTGGTAACGTGATAGCTGGCTCGTGTAAATGGGCAAGAAATTGTATTAGAATGTAGAAACATATACTTTAAGATGAAATTTGGACCATTGAGAATTAATGAATGACAAAGACTAGAAGACTCATTTATGTTAAGCGACAAATTAGTAGAGTGAACAAAATTGTACACTAAAAAGTACTGATGTAAGAAAGTACCCGAAACTAGCATAATAAGAATGTTCTTGAATGGCCATTATCTGGACAGCATTGTAGCCAAGCCTCTTTACTCGAGGAAGCACATCGTCTCTAAACTCTGCGTATGTATTTATTTTAGGCTCCTGAAAATTATCTTACGTTAATAGTCATGTTGTATTTTTTTAAATACAGCCATTTTATCATGTGCTAGGAAATTAAAATAGAAAGCACATAAAAGTATTCAGGAATAGGCTCCCACCGGACTGCTCATTCCGATATGAGATTCATATATTCTCAGTGACTTTGGTCTCTTTGGTCGTGGATGTTGAAATTTATACTGTTCCTGCATAGTAGTTAAGAAAAGTGAGATAACTCTGCATACAGGGTTGGGAGTAAAAGTAACATAAATTTTTGAAAGCAAATCGTTTTCTGATTACATATTAAAAAAATGATTTCTGGAAGATGTTTTCAAGATGGCCACAATGTCTACCTACGACCATTACAAAGCAATATGCTAAACTCATAAATTTAGTAATCTCAACTCTAAAGGGAACATGAGATCTTTAACAGCACTGCTGTTACAACAGAGCAAGGAAACGAAAGAGATTTTCAAAGGGAAGGAAACCAAAATTTTCTGATAAAAGTAAATTACAAGGATATGTTTGTCATATCCTATCCACAGATTCTCTATATTAGAATGCCTCGTCTATCTCAGCCCAACCCTTTTCAATGTTTTCAAGCATGTGACAGAATCAATGTGAATACCTCTTCTGGAGGATCATAGTATATTCCATCATATGGAATTGCGCCAGGAGCTTGTATAGAGAATTTGATCCAAGCTGGAATGGAGTCTTTAATGCCTGATGGAGTGTCCATGCGTATCTGAACTTCCAATACAATATAATAATTAGTACTACGGACCCAGCAAAGTCATATTTAAGTACCTAAAAAAGGAAGGAGAAAATAAGAGTGGCACTATGGACCCAGCAGTGTTTGTTATGATGTTATCTGAATTAGAAAGAGAGAAAGCATGTGAACGCAGAAGTGATATACTCTGTAGAAAATGCATCCATCACTCTTCAGCAATCAAGGGTTCAGAATCACACATTTGCTTTGTTCATGATGAACTAAAAGTGGATTTATTCAAAGACAAGTACAAAAATGTCTCTGTCACCATAGTCGGAGGGCTAAAAGTAGAAAATTTCAAAAATGAGTACCTTCACTCTAGATCCATGTGGAATTGCAGGAGATCCATCCGCATTATTTGGCACAAAGATCTCCCAAACGCCAAACTCATTCTGTTTAAACATTAGAAATTATTATAATCTACCATGGGGTCATTGTAATCATCAATCATTAAGTAGATACAAATGGAAGTTTAGACGCTATTCCTACTGAATAATGATGTGAAATGGCTCCTTTGAGTAAAAAGGTTAACGACAGGTCCCAAACCATACTTACAGAAGGAAGATTGAGTTCCTAAAACATAGCATACCTATATAGAAGATGCAACCCTAAACTGAATAATTATCAGGTTTTGTTTTGTATTCCAATCATTTTAGCTTCAAAGAGTGCCTAATCAAATAAAAATTGAAAATAAAGCCAACCACCCAGGTGTGGATAATAAACAACCAAAAGAAATCTAGACTTGGAATTTGAAAATTTCAAAATAAAGCAATAGTTGTTATCATTAGACAAACAACCAAAGGGCTAATAGCAAAATAAACATGCAGATGAAGTATCTTGTAATAAAAGACGATCAAAGCAAGGACTAAGTCAAGCATAGCAAGTATCTTGTCTCTCTTCATCTCCCAGAATGGATGCCAATCAAATAGAATAATTGTGTGTCCAGAAGTGAGCCAACAAATTCATACCCGAGTCATAACATCAGCATTTGGATTCCAGTTGTTGAAATCTCCAATGAGGGTTGCCCACTACAAAGGCAGGGAAAACAGATATTATAGAAACTGAAATTTTAGTTTAACAGTAGCAATCAAACTGTAATACTAACCTTGGCTCCTGGAGCCCATTCCCGATAGGTGATACCTGTAGCACTAGCAACAACAAAATTACGTGATCAGAGAGTAATAAATCACAGTAATAAAAACCCACAGTAATAAATATATGTGCATGTGGAGTAGAGGGGAGTGGGTTACATGAGCTCATCAATGATGATTATTTTATTCACTTTTTAATACTTTTCTTATTCTCGAAGAGCATTGGCTCTTTACTTAGATGCAGAACTGCATAAGTATCAAGTACGCATGAGTTCGGCCTTGGTAACTTAAATATAAATTCAAAAAATATGCAAGTTTGCTACTAAATATTCCTCCCACATTCAAATTATAATTTCAAAAGTGATTAAATTGAGCACGTCTTACAGGAGCTCAATAGACATGCCTTTCCCGGTGATATAATTATCACGTAGGCCTCTAGATCTTGTCTAGTTCTCATGACACAGTAGAATAAAAAGAAATAAGTGTTTCAATGTTACTGAATAGACATCTTGACCTTTTAGTCAAACTCTTGGGCTCCCATAGGGGATAGCGCTTGCAGTGGAAAAGCTTATTTTTATGATTTTATCCAAACGCAATCTCAAACCATATATAGCTTTGTCCAAAAGTTGATTTGGAAAGCCAAAAACTACTATAACATAATGGAAAAGCCACTCACGTGTGACTTTTGTTTTCTGAGTTTCGTTTCAAGTTACAGCACTTCTTATATATAATTATATACTATCATCCGTATCGCATTAATTGCAACATTGGAATATATACACTATTCATGTACTTTACTTTGACTACATTTTATTTATTAATGTATGTGAATTTTTTTTTTTTTGAAAAAAATTGTTAAATTCGTCTCATTACTAAGTTTTATAATCTGATTTTTACTTTATTTTTACTAATACAAAGTTAAATATAATGACAGTCAAAGTTGTGCGTTTGCAAACGTGAAATGTTGACTGTTGCAACTAAAAAGAGACGGAGGAAGTATATATATATATATATATATTAAATTTTAGACAACAATCTTCAACCTCAATGTCACATAACTTTAACACCAAAATACACTTCCCCACAATAATTCTCGAAAGTACTTCCCCGAAGTGCTTATCCAATAAGATTTTCTGACAACAACCTCAATCCCAAAGTAGAGCTTAGTTTATGTTACACGGTCTTTTTTATGATCTTTGCAAACACTTAGGTAGTGACACTCAAACTCAGCTGATAGTTCAACACACAAGAAAAAGATTTATTGATTGACTAAGAGAGGCATGGGACCTAGTAAATAAATACACCCATGTACATTATGTGCCTGCTACTTACTCCATGACACATGACTTGTCCTACTGCAGGGAAAAAATAATACTCCGTATGACATTATGACAAAATAATCACATGAACAACTTCTCTTTACCTCCGAGTGAATCCTAATTTCTCATAACCACGAGAGAATGCTTCCAATCCACCCTCATGCTGGTCAATTGTTTCCCGCAACTTCCTATAGTGCGAAAACCTGCAGTAGGAAATTTTCCAATGTAAAGAGTTAATACTCAGCTATTGTTCAGGTAGGGGAACCTTATGAAAAGAAAAGTGAGCAACAGATCCATGGAAAGAATTTGACTCACAGATTAAGGGGTTGACATGTTAACAAGTCAGATGTTCTTTTCCATGCCAAATTCAAATGGAGTATTTTACATATTTTCTTAGAGGGTTGGGAGGCAGTGGAGGGGGGAGGTGGACGCGCAAGGGGGGTTAAAATCTAGTTTAGTCTGCTTTTCTTTGACTAAATTTTACAACGGATCCAAGATCACAGACAGTCAAAACCACATCTTTCAATCTACTTGACATAATGTGATTAGGATTTAGAATGTTGATGAGCCAATTGTTTCATAAAAGCTCATGAAATAGCATGGCACAGCAGAAACTATAGTTTAGGAAGTAGAAAAGAGAGGAAACTAATATGAATAATAATATGGAAAGAATGACCCACATGTTACTTCTAGAGTTTTAGTGAACAAAATATTAATTTTAAATATTTTCACAAACATGACTAATAATCTCATACGCTAAATTCATACCATCTCTTTTCTCTCTCCCCCATCAACTACACATCCACCTTACACCCAACAGTACTGCCCAGGCGCCGCCGGCTGCCACCACTGCACAGCTGCGGTTGCCGGAAAATTTCCCAAAAAAATACCCGAAACTGCCGCTGTCAGTTACAATGAGAGGCATGCAGAGTCGCCTAAAGTGGTGGTGTGAGATGTAGTAGCAGTGTCACTGAGTAGTGTTGACAGCAGGGGGTCACTCAGTTTTTGTGTGCACTGGCAGTGACATATTTAGTCACCTTTTGGGAATTTTTAAGAGGTAGTCATATATTTTCTTTAGCTTATCCTTTAACAACTTATGTCAAAACCAAATAATGTTGTAACAAAAAGGAGAATCACCAAGTCAAAAGGTTTACTGCTAAAAATAAGACTATTTACATATACTGGAAAAACATTTGTTATGTTTCTATAACAGAATTTACACTTGCAAAAAACATGTTACCTATAATCAAGATGGTTGCGGAAATTTTTTAAGAGAGGGTCTATTTCATAGATCCTCTGACCAAGTCCAGGTGGAGGAATGATGCTCCTTTTTGCCATTTCAGACTCAATACTAATGTGGTTTGAAGTAAATGCTATTGGGGAAGCCTTCACTTCACCGTCTTCTTCATATTGTACAGAGGAAGCATGACCCTGCTCTTGAACACTTTCTTCAGAGTCCCTTGTTACTTCAGCATTATTCATATTGTTTTTTCTGTTACTGATCTCTTCCATAGTTATACCAACATCAGCTGATACCTAAAACGGCAATAAACAAAAAGATGTGGTGTTGTAGGAAAATTAGCAAAAAAGGGCCCAACAATCAAAGAGAGTCTGAACATTAGAAAATTAAAGAAAACCACATATATATACCAGATCATGCCAACAAGAGAAGAAACAATTCCACACTGAATCAATAAGATAAAATATTAAGCAAAGTTATGCTAAATGAAAGGACACACACATCTATCATGTGTGTAACCTAAGAAAAATATGTTGCAGATATTGTGAGGATTGGAAAGTTATTTGAGATATCATACTTGTTTTATTTAATAGAAGAAAAAAACTTTCACCTCTACTGAAATCATACTGCAATTTGGTGATAACTCTTACAGCAATTCATCCACATCCCCTACTTGTTCAAGAAGAATATTCATTTAAGAGATAATATACATAAATTCATTCACAAACTTGTCCTTAAGAAAACTTATTTGCAATATTTTACAATATTTTGCATGAACTTTCACAAATGCTGAAGACTCTAATTCAGTAATTCATTTGCATCAATTCACTGATGCATTTATCAGAAAGTATGTTATGGGGGTGCCTACGCTATTCATACCTATGCATATTATTCCCTATATTTTTATTAGTTTCAAATTAATAATTAGTAACTCTCGTACTCCTAAGAACCAAATTTACTAGGGCTTCCCTATTGGATAATCACGGATATATTATCTTTTAGGGTGGTTGTACCACGAAAAATACGTTACTAATATACAACACTGCTTCCATTAGCTCCTCCGCAATAAACAAATCCACTGCCCGCTCTGTGGTCGCCTACAACACCTTCTCCACCACTTCAAAGTCTCTTCTACCAATAATTCTAGTACTCCATTGAGAGAATGCCGTACAGCACTGGAAAAGTCAACCATTGGAGGTCGATATGATGAAATTTCAAGTCCCACTGAAGACAATTTGATACATCTTCCACTCCTCCGTTTTCTTTCACTCATGAGAATGGAGTGCAAAGTTGGACATGGCATGTGATGGAAGCAAAGAAAGCTATCGGAGAGAGGCATATATATTAGGATGTGACACGGAAACTTTATGTGGGTCAGAAAATAATACTTGAGGAAGGTTTCTATTAATCTTTCAGGAGCTTAGAGGAGCTCCTCAGCATACACTGTGGACTCCCTCCTTCCAACTCATCGGATGGCTCATCCAATGTCCTACACCACTGTACAGCATTGGGGGAAAATAGTATGGAGGCAACAAACTTCAATCTAGTTTCTGAAGAGAAAACTGCTGATAATTATTGTGATATTGCTCGAAGGCTTCATGATATTCCTGAAGAAAAAGGTCTAAAGGACTCATCTACTGATCCCAATGCTTTACTAGCCAGAGTGATAATTGATCAGGTAGACCGGAAGGTAGTGAAACTGACAGTATTGACTTCTATTAATGGTTCACCTGAGCAGATCAAAAGAAGGTTAGAGGCGAAAGGGCATAATACTAATGCAAAGATGGTTTCCAGTGTTGTTCAAAGCTCGCCTTTCCCGTACCTGCAACATGAGTATGTCCAAAGTCTGAAATATCACAAATGCCACCACCTGTAGGTTATCTGTTTGCTGATGTTTCCGTTTGATAATGGATGGATTAGCACCGACAGGTTTCTACGCTTTGAATTGAAGGACAGGCTTGATGTCCACAGAGGGGGTAATGTGTTGGGTTTGGCTAGGCTATTCCTAACTAGGAACATAATTATTTATTATTTTTAGTTTCACGTGTACACTTAGTTATATTGTTATTTAGTAATATTAGTACATGTATTGGTTTCGTATTAATATTCTTACTTCCTTACTCGCTATAAAAGGGTCCCTAGTGTAATACTGTACTACTTTTTGGTGAATTAATTCTTATGTGTCTTGACTCGGTCCTACACTGAGTAATTCCATGATGAGTAACTCCATGATAAGCATAGGTGTTTCAATTCTCACACCAAACCCCCCTCCCCGTTGTTTCATCCAAGACCTTCGACCAGATCCCTACCGTAACAAAACACTGGTGACTGGAACACACCAAAGTGCAGATGGTTTCATTTGGCAATCAACATGATAACTGTTTTTCCTTTCAATGAGTACTTCTATATTTTACATGAGATATAAAGTCTTATTTTCATGTTGCACAACAGTACTAACTTTTACAGTTTTACATACACATACTTGGGTATCTTCCAAATATGTCTCAGCAGCCTGTAAATTATCTGTTGAGAATGATGATCCCTCACTTTGGCCACCAGGAACAAGGACTTTCTCTGATGAAGCAACTACAGAAGAAGAGGATGTGGGATTGTACGAAGACATTCCAGCAAATATCGCCCCTACAGACAAGGAACAAACTCGTTACGTTTCCACCAAAAGAAGTAACAAGCAAAGCAAATTAGGCCAACAGATATAATTGACTGATAACTTGATGAGAAAATTAGTTCCTCCAAATTAGTGACTGTGTGGAGATTACTATAGAATAGAGAGGTTTGTGAATCCAGTAGTATGGATTACAACCAAACTAATTCATGGAGACTCCCGAAATTCAATATAGATTGGGTAAACTGCGTTTAAAAATAGCATTGTCCTCAAAATCTTGCCAACCCAGCAAACGGAATAACAGAAGCAATAAGGGTCAATGAACAATTAGAAAGGCACCCACTTTTTAGAAAAGCTCTCCATCCTCAAACAAAAACAAAAGAAGACTACAAAGAAAGGTCAAAGATACAGAGAGTAGGCCCCTTCAAAAAAAAAGAAAAAACTCAGAAAAACAATTCACTTCGTTTTGGACTAGTAGAATAAAGAGAGATCAAATATTTCTCAACGAAAACAACACAAGCACACACACACACATATATATATATATATATATATATGAACTGACGGCTTGTTGATATGGATTCCAACAAGCAGGACGTCAAGTGCTTGGTAACCAAATATGTTAGAAATCTGAGACTGAGAGATGACGACATACGAGGAAATGAATGTTTTCTCAGGAAGATAGTAGGATAGGCATTCCTCGGATCAGCGTGGGAGCTGGATGCGTGATGCTTGAATACTGAGGGAGCAGCAGGCAACTGGAGGCCAGAGAGGGTGTAAACCATATCTTTCCTGCTTCGGGTTTCTTCTCCAGCTTCCTTCCTGTTCTGGAAAAGAGATGATTGGGTGGGCGGAATGCAGAGTACAATTTTGGAGATCTGATACTACACTAGGATACAGTGTACCAGGAGGGAGGCAGTGGCTATTATTAGTAGACTATATCAGCAGGCGCCAAGAGTATCGTGAAGAGAGAAGGAGAGGGTATGATAAGAGAGAGAAGGTGGGGTCCTATTGGACGACAGATTTCCAAACTCCAATGCTTGAGATTTGACATGTATGGAATTTGTTATTAGAAAAAATTGTTTTGTTGCAATCATTTTTTTGCAAAAATGCAAATGACCGTAAAAAACATTTTCCCTTGTTAAATGTATTTGTTTGTATGAGAGACTTTGCTAATTTCATCCATTAATAAAAGAATTGTGATTCTAGTTAATTCTTTTTTATATACACAAACATCAATCACATAGTTTTTATTTTATTAATCCTTACGTCAGTTAAATTTGACAAAATTTTAAGAGATGAATGGAGTATAATACACAGTTTATTACACAGGGACCTGTTGGTAACCGCCTCTCATCCACCAACATTTTTATCAAATGACGTAATTTTCAATTTTGCGTACTGAGTTATACTCCCTCCGTCCCACAATGAACTTCACAGTTTGACCTACACACATATTAAGGAAATAAACTTACCATGGGGTAAATTTTACTGTTTTGACACTGTTTCACCACTGTTTGGCACTGTTTCGACACTGTTTGGCACTGTTTGATACTGTTTTGATGTAGATTAACTTGCCATTTAAGGAAATGGGAACTTGTTTCTGGGACATCCAAAAAAAGAAAGTGGGAAGTTCATTGCGGGACGGAGGGAGTATATTAATAAAAGATACTAATGTTTAAGTTATTTTTCTAACTGAATTTTTATGTTCATATACTTAATCTTTATTTTATTAATAAAATATATTTTAAATATTGTTTCTCAAACTTCAGCTAATTCGGTTGTTAGAGTTTAAATTTCGTAAATTCCAGCAGACTTAGCCGACTCGATCAATTTCAATGTTGATAGATTGGGTCAGGTCTAGCACCCCCCCCCCCCCCCCAATCCATGTCTTTCACTCTTTCTTTCGTTGTATTTTGAGTAGGTATGCCTTCTCCGAAAGGGTTTTGGTCTGTCTCCCCCTTCTTCTTGCATCATCTTTATTATTTTAATAAAACATTAATAAATGTTCTCCGGCATTTAGCCCACTGATTTTGGTGGTTTGTCTTCCGGGTTTTAAAAAAAGCAGGCTCAAAATATATACCCCTAAATTTCGCAAAATGTGTGAGACCAAATTTATATACCCCAAACTATCACATGCGGAGTATATAAGTGTGATAAAACTTACATCAATTTTTTACGTCATTTCTGAGAGCGGTGTCGGTTTTAATATTCTCCTTTAGAACTCTTCCTTTCATATTAGAATTTTTTAAGCACACACGCTCCAATTAGGAATAACCATTGATCCCTCTCAATCTCGAGCTTGGAAAGTTTGATAGAGAGAATATTAAAATTGCGTGTGAACTCCTTTGATTCCATCCTATGTTCACACCAAGCGATGGGGCCAAACCATTGTTGTTGACATTCAAGTGCAACAATCCTAGACAGTCTTATATACTGGAGGTGCAGATGTCTAACGGGCTGAGATACTGTCACGGCTCTAGACAGTCTCAAGAATGCAACAACAGCCGCACATTCCAGCTACGGCAACTACAATCAACCTTACTCGAATCATGCAAGGTGTACATAAATGTCACACACTAAGTACATCAACAAATAATCATGAATAAAGTATTTTAAATACGCAACATAAAACAATGTACATATGGAGTCAAAGGCTACACGGGGCAAAATATGAGCACACAAAATCTCAAAAGGTTCATAACCAAAATAATATCCATTAGCATGGTCTTTATCATTTTAAACTATAATGGAGGAAGCACGAACAACGTTCTTCTTCAATCGATTTCTTCTTTCCTGCACATCAGATCGATTGACTTCTCCTCCTCTACATATCAGAACGATCAAATTCATCGCACAGTCCATACGCCATTGTCGATTTCATCCTTAGTCATAGCTGCCGCCGCTGACTCCACCGCGTGTGCACTGTCGTTTGGTTAGGATTCTTCTTTTCCTCCTTCTCCTCCTTCTCCTTCTCTTTCTCCTCCTCCTCCTCCTCCTCCTCCTCCTCCTCCTCCTTCTTCCTCTTCTTCCTTCTCCTCCTCCTCCTCCGCTCCTCCTATTATTCTATTACTCTGACTTTGAAGTTGATTTTTCTGATTATTCATTTATTCCTCTGTTTTTATAGTTTTGACATTGGATTTGTTGATTTTCGGACTTCTATTTCATATTTACGTTTTCTGATTTCTCAATTTTTTTAAAATCCGATTTTTTCCGGATTTTTGAATGATGACATACGATTTGCCAAGTTTATGCAAAAATGTACACTCACAATCGTATTATGTAAAAAAAACTTTTTGCAAATCAGTTTTACTCATATTGGCATCATATTATGCAAATTGTAATAACACAATATCTACCACTCCCAAATGGGCAATTAACTTTTCTTTTACTCCTATTTGAGTAATGATGGAGTATATGGCCCAGAAACCCCCGGCTCACATATTTCCACTACTACAACCAGGCCCAACAGACCCAAACGGGCGAAGCCCAACAAAATGAAGCTCTAAGCAGCCCACGACGCGCAAGGGGGTGCCTTTGGCCCCATGGCCGAAGGCTACCGTTTACAGATTCAAGCTCAGAAACATCACAGGAGAACAAGGCTAGAAAATCAAGCCTTCGACAATTGGAGCCCTCGGTACTATGAGGCCCCCGGTACGAGGAGCCTTCAGCTTGTCATCTACAGCCGAAGGCATCCTCCTCGACAGAATATCCTCTTCACATGCGCCTGAATCACCGTACCGAGTACAACGTCACATCCAATCACCGCATTTAATGCGGTCACATGCAGGTGTCGGTGCCACCCGGTTGAGGTGACCCCTCGACCATTAGATTATTGACATGTGTACTCTCATCGCATTTATTGCTGCTATAAATAGCAGCCCATTTCCCAATTGTAGAGAATAACGAGTTCACACAACGAATACTCTCTCTCTCTCTTACTATTGCTCTGACTTCTCTCTAGTTATTCCCCGCAATAACCCCTCGGATAGCTACCCACAGGTACACTATCCATCATTTGGTGCTCTCGTTGAGAGGTCGAACAATCAAGTAAGAAACCCTCCCCTTCATCAGACACAAGAAACCTATCAAAATGGTGAGAGCAACTCGTGCCCAATCCAAGACTCATGAGGACAGGAACCTGGCCCTCGGCGACGTCGACGCCCCCGAAGCCTCTAACAAGGCTCCCAGGGCGGCGCCCTCGCTGAGTTGGAACAGGCGGCTGTCGACCTGCGCCTTCAGCTCCAACAGAATGCCCCTGATGCCCGCCTTGGCATCGAGGCCAAAAAGAAGGACCGGAGCAAAAACCAAGTGAACCCTCTGGTCCTCGCTATCGACGTGCGGTCGGCATTCTCCGCCTTCATCCAAACACTCACCCAAAATCCAGGTGACTTCGGCACTCTGCTGCCCCTTCAACCACAGGTCGGGAGAACGCTATACCTCTCCCGCGTCCACCCCCCTTCATGAACCCTACCCCTCGGGTTGGGAACGACAAAGGGGTCGTGGCTCAAGACACCGCCTCCCAGGAAGTCCGATCCCGGGACTGCCATGGCGTAAACAAGGAAAGGCCCACGACCTCGGCCCTCGAACGGCTCGGAGGGGCGCAAGACCGCCGAGGGGTCCAAGACCGCCTCGGTGGAAAGGTGTTCCAAAGACCCCAAGAGAGCGGGGGATCCGTTTCAAGGGCAGACGAAAGACGTCTCCCACAAGACAAAGGCAAGGGACTACTCCATGCCGACGACGCCATGCACCAGATCAACCAGGCCCACTCAGCCCGTGTCCGTTCGTAGGGGGTGGAGGCCCTCCCGAAGGACCCCAGGGACGAGATCATCGCGTCCCTCCAACGCCGCCTTGATGAAATGGAGGCCCGCCAAGCCAACACAACAGCTTCCGCCTCACAGGCGGACCCCAAATACGCTGCCATGCTAGCAAAGATGGAGGAGATGCAAAGAAAATTTGTCGAAGGCTCAAGGGAACCCGTCATCCAACTCCGAACTCGGACGCCATTTACCCCAAGGGTATTGGTAGCCCAAATTCCGGGGAAGTACCGAGGGCAACTCATCAAGCCCTATGAAGGAAAAAATGACCCCCAGGAGCACTACAACAGGTATCAAAACAACATGATGATGATGGGGGCATCGAATGAATATTTATGTTGTTGGTTCCTTTCCACCTTGGAGGGACCGGCGTATGAATGGTTCAACCGGTTGCCCGAGGGCAGCATTGATTTGTGGCAAGAACTCGCCCAGCGTTTCTTGACACAATTTGCGGGAAGGCATCGGTCCAAGAAGCACTTCTCCCACCTACTCACAATAAGGCAACAGAAGGAGGAGACCCTTCGGGACTTCCTTGAGCGCTGGAGGCTGGAGGCGGACAAAGTCGATGGTGCCGAAGATAGGACCCTCATGGCCCTCCTACAGACGGTCCTCCGTACCGGGAACTTCTCAAAGAGCCTCATTATTGAGCCTCCGCGTGACTACATAAAGGCTCTCCAGCGGGGAGACCGATACGCAGAGACCGAGGAGGTGGAAAGATCCCATTGGAACCCCGATCAACAACGCCCCAAGGCAGATGACAGAAACAACCAAGGGCCGGGGGCTCCATTCCCTCAATCTAAAGGATCGGCCCCCTCGGGTGATCTCTCCCGGCACGGCCAAGCCAAGCCCGGGGGAGGTTACAAGAATAACCCGAAGGCTTGGGCACAGCCCATCCCCCTGGAACATCCTCAGACACCCCTAATGCATCCCGTCACCGTCATCCTCGACTTCGCCGAAGAGAGGGGCCTCGTGGAGCGCGACTCCCGCGCACCCTTGGAGGTATATGCTGACAACCCCAATGAACCGTACTGTCGCTTTCATCGTAATCAAGGGCACAGAACCGATGACTGCCACCAGCTGAAGGCAGCCATCGAGAGGCATATACAGGAAGGCCATCTGTCCCAATTTGTCAGGGGCCCTCAGTCTCAAGGGCCCCCGCGAGGACCACCGGTGAGGGCAAACGCCTGAATCAACCCAAATATCAT